TGGGACGGGGCCAGGGCCGAACTCCATTCAGGCCGCCGGAAGGAGGGGTGCGGACCCGGACGCCTGGGGCCGGGAAACCTGTTGGGACCAGAGGGGGTGGCTGGGGTGTGTCAGAGGTGGCGCGCGCGCGTGTTCGGGGAAGGCCGGCCTTGGGGCTGCGGATGCGGGGCGCGGCTTCCCGGTGTGTGGAGAGGGAGTCAGAACTCGGCCCCGCCAAGGGAAAAGAAGGGCTGAGCGCGCCTCCGCGTGCCACGCCCCGCGCGCCCCTCGGCTTTGCCGATGGAGAGGAGACCCACGGAACTTTTCCCCACAAACTTGCAGGGGGAGTTCCACGCAGGCTTTTGGTTTTTTGAGATAAAATTCAGCTTGGAGCTGAAACACCTATAAATACACACATTGCTGCGCGAATAAAATCCCTTGTAGAAACAGGTGGGATCCTGGGGAGGGGGGGACGAGGCGCCCCGGGGAGACAGGCTGAGGGGCGTGGGGAGTTAGAGACCTGGGAAGCCCCGGGCCCTGGGACCACCTGGGGCGCAGGCTGGGCCTCTGGCCTCCACCTGGGAGGCTGAGCCGGAACCGCCTCTACCAGCCCAGGTTCCCTCCGGGCCACTCCTCTTTTTTCAGGCTAAAGGTCGGGGGCCCCTGTTCTCTCCCCCTCCTCCCCCCAGGGCTGCTCTGTTGCAGCGGCCCGAGGACACTGGGGTTGGTCCCCGGCCAGGGAACAGCGTGGGTCCCTGAATTCAGTTACATGGAGGAGACAGGCTCCCGTGTTCAGAAGTCAGTGCGGGTTGGTTTTAAAAGCATGCCTCTCTTCCTTCCGCGTCGGCCAAGAATGCCTTGTAATATAAGTAGTGTATTTTGTAGGAACAACTTGACCTTTAACTTCGACCTCGAATCCACAGCAGAGAATGTAAACGCCAAAGCCACAGGGAGCCCGTTTTGAGTGCATTGGAAGGGGCCGGATCCTTGTCTGGCCCTTTAGCTATTTTACTGGAAAATCCAGCCCTCGATGGGCCTTCATTCTGTGGCATTCTACCGATTTGTTTTAATAGAGGTCTAATAATGTACTGCCCTGGAGTTGATTTCAATCCAGGACCAAGGCTCCCGAAACGGTGGTGCTCGCTGCGTTAAAAAGTGATGCAAGCCCCCCGCATTTTGGGCATAAATAAAACCTCCTCGGGAATAAATGGTTAAGCCCGGATTGGGTTGTTGGGAGGTCTGGGCTGACTCTTCCCCGCGGGGAGCGCCTGCCCACCCTCTTCCAGGTGAACCAGGTTCAGGCTCTCCATCCACAGGGAAGGAAGGGCTTCCCCGACAGAGGCGGCTGCTCGGAAAAGAAAGTTTGCCATTGAGAAAAGGTGTGCGGAGGGGTGTGTGACATCGCTCTAGAATGTTCCTCCGGTGCTAGCCCAGCCCTCACCTTTACCGGGTTATTCCTGAGGACAACTTCCTCTGCTCATCCCTGGGAAAAGAAAGAACACAGCAGGTTAAGTCCGTTTGCGCACTATTTTTAGCTCTCTCGCTCTTTCTTGCTGTCTCTCTTTTAACCCTAAGAAGGTGGCAGGTCACTTCGTTTCCCAAATCTCACGGTGTTCTGCTCAGGTGCGTGACTGGCGCCGGGCTGGGCTGGGGTGGGTGCCTGGCCTCTCCCCAGGCCCAGCTCTCTTGGCTCCTTTTCTTCTCCCCCTCCCCCTCTTTATCTGTACTGTTGTTTTCAGGGGCGGAGGGTGGGGTGGGACGCTTTCCTTGCCGAGGCTTCAGTCCGCGCGCGCCCTCGGACTGGAGAGGTTTTCCTCGGGCTCGGGTGCCCTGCTGTCCGTGCCCGCGGGGAGGGGTCGGCGCCGGTGAGCGCGCACAGGCGGGAGGCTTACGGAGTTGGGGAGAGTCGGGGGGCGCCCGTCGGGCCGCAGGGAGCTGCGCCTGCCGGGAGCACCGGCTCCCCAGGGCGGGCGCGGGGTGTCCAGGCCCGGGCTCCCTCGGCTCCCCTCCCCTCCCGCGCAGCCGGCCGCCCTGGGCCTTGCTCCCGGCCTGGCGACCCCCCGTGCCTCCAGCCCTTCCTCCGCTGGCGCCCAAAGCCCGGCGAGGACCGCGGTGAGGACTGGCCGCGTGGAGTTGCATCTGGGCGCATGGCGTCCTCGAAGCGGGATTCCGGGGACGGTGGGCGCCTCCGGACCACCACGGGCCCAGGGACCCGAGAAGGCCGGCGCACCAGGCCCCGCCAACACGGACGGGCCGTGCCGCAGCCTCGGGTGCGGGTGCGAGGGGCAAAGGTCACGAGGATCCCCTGCGGAGCCCGTCCCTCTCAAGGGGTCGCTGCGCCTCTCTCCACGGGAGGCCGCAGGGCCGAGCCCCGCCGAACTTGGCCTTGCCGCCCGGCCCGGAGGGGGGACCGGGCTGCCCTCCTCCCCGCGCCCCAGCCTGGGCGCTCGGCTCCGGGCCGCTGACGCCTGGGGGCCCCTGGCAGGAGCCGAGCCGGGTGTCCCTCGGAGCCACCCCGCATCTCCTCCACCCTGACCCGGCCCGATGTTCGGCGGGGCCGGTGCAGTTGCCCGTGAAGTCGAAGCCTTTCCAAGGGCCGCGCTTGGACATGGAGAGCGAAACCGGGGGCTTCCTGCCCCTCCAACAACACTGGACTCTGTGCCGAGCGCCAGGAGCGGGAGGCGCGTGGCCAGCCGCCGGGATCCCCGTGCGGCCTTGGTGCGTCCGGGGCGCCACGGCCTTGGGGCCCCGGGAGCCCGACGGCGCGGCCATGCGCCCTCATCCAGACCTTTCTCTATGGTGGACGGCCAGGGCCCCCCGTGAGGAGTGTGTACGCGCACTGGAACACACCCTTCCACCGGGCTGGCTTACTAACTTAACTTAAAAGTGAATAATTCTTCCTGAACGACCTACTGGCCAGCTCGCCTCCTGCCACCAGATGCTCCATCTTCTGGTCTCATTGCAGGGGGAAATGGCATGTTTGGGGTCCGAGAAAGTGTCAAGGCCACCCCCTGACAGTCTTAGCAGATGGAAACCCCTGCATATCGGGGTATTGTCGATAGGAAGTATATGTATACTGGGGGGGGGGTCTGGCCTCACAATTAAAGTGAGTCTGGTTACCGAAATGAAACTAATCATCTGGTCTTAATCACTGTGTCTCTGCTTCTTGTGGAGGAGAAACACAATGACTGGCTTTCCTTTTCATCTGGAAGGGACTGTACAATGTTGAACGTTCCATAAAAAAAATCATTCTCTCCGATTTGTGTTCCAATTAATCAAAATGCGTGTTTTCAAACCAGACATATTTGCACCAGAGAGAGAGTTCGCTGCAGCCATTTCCAACCAGCCCCAGCAGTAACATGTAGCAACCGATGACCTTGCATGTCCCATCAATCTTTAATAATATCATTGTCATTACTATTATTATCTGAAGTGTTAAATTGTTGCCAGAATCAATACCAGTGTACTTCTTTGGATATATTTTATCCCAGTGTTGTTTTTAACATCTTTGTTAAGAGGCCAATTAATTTCCAACTCCTAGCCCCAGTGAAGTTGTATATAATGAGGGCCTCCTGTCTTTTTTTTTTCTTTCTACTTGTTTCTCCTTTTGAAAGGAAGAAGATAGAAGCAAGTAACACATGAAATAAATCACTTGCTGACTAAAGTGATACAAAATTCTCCCTAAACTGATAAAAAGAAGAAAATATGCCAAAACTCTGAGTGTAGAACTAGTTGGTAGATGACCATTTTTTGGTTTGGGGGGTTTTTGTTTTGTTTTGTTTTGTTTTTAAACAGAGCAGGATTGGTTTTGTTTAATTTCCATCAGGTCCTACAGTTGCAACCCCGCCACAGCCACTGGATGTAAAGAGATTTTTTTTTTTCTCAGCACAATACGAAGACCTTCATGCAGAAAGCATCTTAATACATGTGTGTGTTTGTTTCGTTCTAGATTTGTTGGTATTAATGCATCTGACATCAACTATTCAGCCGGCCGCTATGACCCATCGGTGAAGCCCCCGTTTGACATAGGCTTTGAAGGGCTGGGTGAGGTGGTGGCCTTAGGCCTCTCTGCTAGTGCTAGATACACAGTGGGCCAGACGGTGGCTTACCTGTCACCTGGGTCCTTTGCTGAGTATACAGTGGTACCTGCCAGAGCTGCCTTCCCAGTGCCCTCACTGAAGCCGCAGTACCTTACCCTGCTGGTGAGCGGCACCACCGCCTACCTCAGCCTGCAGGAGATGGGAGGGCTGTCAGAGGGGAAGAAAGTTCTGGTGACAGCAGCGGCGGGGGGCACAGGACAGTTTGCTGTCCAGCTGTCCAAGAGAGCCAAGTGCCATGTAATTGGAACCTGCTCTTCTGAGGAGAAGTCGGCTTTTTTGAAATCCCTTGGATGCGACCGTCCTATCAACTACAAAGCCGAGCCCGTGGGAAGCGTGCTCAAGAGCGAGTACCCAGAAGGGGTGGATGTGGTCTATGAATCCGTTGGGGGAGCCATGTTTGACTTGGCTGTGGACGCCTTGGCCACCAAAGGGCGCTTGATAATAATTGGGTTTATCTCTGGCTACCAAAGTCCTTCTGGCCTTTCGCCTGTGAACGCAGGAACGTTGCCAGCCAAACTGCTGAAGAAATCTGCCAGCATCCACGGCTTCTTTCTGAACCATTACCTCTCCAAGTACCAGGGAGCCATGGAGCGGTTGCTGGAGCTGTTCGAGGGTGGGGAGCTGGTCTGCCAGGTGGACCGGGGAGACCTGTCTCCAGAGGGCAGGTTCACCGGCCTGGACTCCACATTCCGAGCTGTGGACTATATGTACATGGGGAAAAACGCTGGGAAAATCATAGTCGAATTACCTCACCCTGTCAGCAGTAAACTGTGAAAACAGAATGAGGGTATAAATCAAAGGAGAAAGAAAATGAGCACTGTATGCTGCAGAATTACTCAAATCAATTTATTTTTAGTTGAAAATGGATATATCTTAAAATAAAAGTTAGATGTTAATGAATACTCTCCTCCAGTGTCTCTCTCCCTTCCTCCCCCCCTCTGTTTTTCTCTCTCCCTCTCCTCCTCACTCTCTTTTTCTCCCTTAGGGGGAAAATGTGCCAATAAAAGTTCCTTCTATGGCTAAGAGGTAAAATGTTTACGTTCGACTCTTTAGTCATGGACAGTCTCATTCCAGATTTTACTGTTCCAGGGAAGTAAATTAATTCCTGATGTAGGACCTGATCAAATCAGTATGTCCTCCACTTGATGAGATTTAAAAATCAGTCTGGAAAATAGTTGCCAGAGTCTCTTCACCTTGGGAGCACTGGCCCGGCCGCTCAGTAGCTGACAGGGGAGAGGCGCAAAGTCAGCTGTCTGCAAAGCCCACATGCTCAGGAAGTAGCCACTTTTTTTCTTTTTCTTTTGCCCAGAACTCACCAACAAACTATCAAAATAGACATGTGAGGGAAGAACTTCCCTCCGTATTTGATCTGGTTAAGCTATTGGGAAAGTCAGTCTGCAAACACAGATGTACCTGGAAGTATCTATCTGAGATTTGATACCTTTTATACATACTACAAAGTAGAAATTTTCCCTATTCTTTTTAGCTGCAAATATTAATGCTAGGTTTGGGAAAGGGGAATTATAGAGTCGAGGGGAATTTTAATTTTAATTTCTTAATTACTCCCTGCACAAGAAAGGGCCACTATAACTCTATGCTCCTTTCACAGCGAAGTTCCCAGATCCTAGCAGGGATGGCCGACAGGATCCGAGAGCCCATCCTGGGCAAGCCTTGCCACCGTGCACGCACACAGCCTGAGGACCCAGGTCACAGCTCCGTGCTCATGTAGGAAATCGAGTCATGTACAATAGCACGTTTGCTTCTCACTGGAGGTTCTTGGAGGTAGAAGGTAGGTTTGATCTCTGGTAGCCTGTGTTCCCATTTCACTTCTCCAACATTGTGTTGGAATGAAACACTTCTTGTAAGTGGCAGTACACACATCCCCTGGCCACATGGGAGCCATGCAGCCTGCCCTGCATAAGTCACCGCAGGGCTCTGAGTCAGGCCAGAAAGGACCACGCATCCTTAACCTTCATCACCCAAATGGCTTCCATCATGCCCATCATGGAGTCAGAATCCCACGGTGCCATTCCAGCCGAAGGTGAAGCCCAGCCCATGATCTTCGCAGAGTCCTAGGTTTCAGGGCTTAATAAATACGAACTCAATTAAAGGGGCTCCAGGACAGTTGGGACCAGATTCCACTCATCTTTCGCTGCATCAGAAGAGCAAGGAAGATCTCGATGCTGAAGAGCCGTTAGTATCTGTTTTACAAGATTTACTCATTTTCAGGTACCTAATGTAGCCGCCAGCATGCACGCACAACAATACAATTTATATGGTAAATGGAACCAAATAATGGCCTCACTGAATGTTATGGCTGCACTGAAGGGAAATGTCACGGTAAATAGCTGCCAAATTATGGATCATGCCGAAGTGTCACAACTGCACTAAAGACAAATAGCACTGGAGGCTATTGCCACTGTGACGCTTTTGAGTTATGAAGAAGGGTAGCGGCCTGATGCGAGACTCTTTGTGTCCTCGTCATAGCAAAGGGCTATCGGTGCAGGGACAGAAAGCCTCATCCAGTGTGGTGCTTGGTTATTAATCTGTCCCTTCCAGACCTAACAGCTGTAGCAAAACAGAAAGAGACTTTGCCTGGCTCTTCCATACACAAACCAGGGCGGGGAGAGGTGGGTGGGGGGACGGGGTTTTATGAATGTGGCTAAGCCTAAGAAATGACTGCTAATGGAAAAATGTGGTAATAAAATAATCTAATCAAAGAATATTATCAAATTTAACATAGTGTATGTCTGAAGAGCTCCGTTGCTTGCTATGCAGATCGATTGTGTGAAATGCAAGCAATCATGCACTTTCTCTCTGCCTAAAGACTTGAGGACAGAAGACATTACCAACTCAATTGCCTCTTGGAAACTGAAGTGTATCCCGGTTTCTTTCATTTTAATGGGAGGCTAATAAAGATGAAAGACCAACATTTTATCTGATGGATCCCTTAAGCCACAGAATAGAAATTTATTATGTTTTGAGGGAATATGCTAAATTCAGCTATGTAAAAATAAAACTCAAACACTTGGGTTTAAAATAAAACATAATCTGAAAACCTCATGTGCTCTCTCTGTCCCTCAAACTGAGAAACTGCAATGCGTGCTGGTTTCGTTTATTCTCAGAAAACAAGCATGAACGATTCCGTCCATTCAGATAATGCCAAAAATATGTTTTAATGTTTTTTTTTGTTCTTTTGAAAAATGATTTGTAAATTGAGGGTCACAGTTCGGCATCAGCTTCGTCCTGTGGGGTTTGTGTTGAAGACCAGCTTGTAATGGGAGGTGAAGTGCTGTGAGGGTTCCCCGCACCTTTCTTCTCAACTGTATTACATATCACAAAAAGAGCATCCATAATTCAGGGCCATTGTCAGGCTTTGTTTTAGAGAAGGGGCCAGGGCAGAGAAGTCGTGGGGATGAAGGATTTCCCAGTTCTCCCTGTGCCCCGTGTGGCCTACTCCGCATGGTGGGTCACTGCGCGGGCAGGGTGGAAGAAAGTAAGGCCTCCCAAAGATCTGGAACCATCCGGGTCAGGACTTCTATACAGCCCAGCGCTTTTTCCTCCAAGCCTGTTTTGCATAGGAAAAATACCGACAATATCATTTTGGGGCCCATTAGCAATGACTCTTGCTGTTGACTGATTTCAGCATTTTTTTTTAAAAGGAAAAATCCAAGGGATAGTTTGCAAAGAGATGACAAGTTTCACATGCTCTGTCTGTTCTATAAATTGTCTGCTTGCATGGGAATGGGGCTCCTTGAGATTGGAGGAGAGCCTCTGAAAGTGGTCATTAGTATTACATGCAGTATTTATCTAATGAAGGTGCGGTGACAGGGAGCTGCCGCCGTTATTCAGAGGGACGCCGCTCTGGGCTGGGGGTGGCAGAGCAGCTAATGAGGATATAACGTCTCAGGGCCCCACAGGCCTGCCTCTCCCTGCTCCCCACCACGAGACGCTGGAAACTTGACAAATGACATCATTTAAGATGCGTGCCTGCCTTAGGGACCTGGTCTGGGGCTTCCTGTTTCTGGATCTTATTTGGGTAACATTTATAATAGCTACCCCGACTTGGACCTGCAGTGTTTTCACCCTTGATGGAACTTTCAGTCCGCAGGAAGCCATCCATCTGTTCTCTTTTACAATAAGGTGAGGTACTCGGGACTGGAATGTCTCCCTAGCACACGTAAACGTGCAGGACACACCGTACTGCGGGCCTGCACAGAAGTTAGATGGCAAGAGCCAGCCTTAATTCATGAGGTAAATAAATGATAAGGTACAGAGTGTCAGCTTGGGATGTTAATTTCCCAGAGGTTTTCCTATCATTAGCTTTAAGTAGGTGTATAAAGGGTATCAGTTCACGTCATTTATGAGTACAGTGCATCTTGATCAATGTCACCCTTCCATCATTTTTCCAGAGGTGGCATGTTTTATGGCCTGATAAGGTAATTTCACAATTATTCTCATTTCTGCTTTGACTCTCTTCTAAATATTCTGTTATTTGTAGTATTTATTTAGAGACAAAATTGTGTGTGCCACCTGTCACTTTTGCAATTGGGTGTTTGTGTGTGTGTGTGTGTGTGTGTGTGTGTGTGCACTTGTTTGGGATTTTTGACAGTTTCTATAGCTCATTTCCTATTGTGGCTCAGAATCAGATATTTAGGATGATATTTCAGAAGCTCAATTACCAATACTGTGATAGTTTGGCGTAGTCACTTCAAACTTTGAATTCTGTTTTACTAGCCCTTTTGTACCATGCTATTTCAACTCATAAAAGAAGAAATGAGTGGTATGAGATCCTTATTACTGTTACCAGGAGTAATCTGTGGGAGGTTGATCCAAATATGAAAATAATATTTTACCAACATGTATCAACTCAAGTAGTCCTTGGTAGTACAGAGCTGGTATTGAGAGTCAAATAGAGGCCATCTTTTGATTAAATATGCTTGACGTTTCGGTTTAATTCTTCCAGTGCCTGGCAGAAGTGCTACCCAGCGTTCAGTCTTGATCTGCTTGCCCAGGGTAGGCCTTCCCTCCGGTGCCTTTCCAGGGCCCCCCAGGAGGCACGGCTACATTCCAGAAATGGGGTACATGTCGCCCAGTAGTAGGGTAAGTGCCACGCGAGGACAGTTTAGGGAAAAGCAATATGTGCTTCATATGTGCTGAGGAACATTGAGCCAAAAGCACAGAGATTTGAACAGCCCCCCAAAGCAAGGCTTTCCCTTGAAGGGCACTATCTGACAGTGTCTTTCTGCCAACATGAAATTAAAATAATAATGAAAACACACCCTGCTGATGGGTGCCAGCATCGCCAGCATCCAGGAAGAAGGAGGGATGTGTGGCAGCCCCGTCACCGCGCTGCCTCGGCCACGGTGTGACAAGCAGAGCAAGGCCCTTGGGTGGCACCATGGAAGACAGAGCCACGCGCACGTCCCGCTGGGGCGTCTTGGCCTGGACCCTGAGGAAAGGACTTGGCCGTGACCTGATGCCCGGGATGGTGGCAATCGCCGACAGAAGCCGAGTCCCAGAAGGATGTGTGTCCCTCTCCAGCCATCCTAGACAAGGAGACCCCACTGCCCACTAAACTGGGCGTAAAAGGATAATCTAGTTCCAACCATGTCTTGCCCAAGACCACGGAGTCCACAGGACTCGAGCCGTCCCTCAAATGCAGCCAATCGGGGGAGCGGATCCCACACAGACGCTACCCTGCTTTGTCCCCTTGCTGTTGGCCAATGCTGATGAGAGTGTTGTGTGGGCGCAGCCACCCTGGGCTGGGAAGCGTCACGTGGCTGAGACAATCGCAACCCTGGACATGGGGTCCCAGGCTGAACCACCAGTCGGCAGCCGACTCTTCTTGTGCGGGTCTGCTGTACCGGAGCTCGAACTCAGCCTCAGCTTCTCCACTG